GTCGATTATAGATTTACAAGTAGCTAAAAATCTATTCAATTCGCTGGGGTTTCCATGGAATTGCGGAACACAGCTTAAATATTCAGGTTTAAATTGTGCCATTATGTTATTATGAATATCAGTATTTATTTCAATAGTTTCGTTACTATCTAATGTATTAAAATATAGATTACCAATTTGTAGAACTCCTGTGAGATTCTGTTTTAACGTAGAAGTATTGATATCTAATTTAATACCTAAGTTTTCTGAATTTAACACTTCTGTTTGGCTAGAAGCGGAGTCAGAGCTTATTAAAGGATTATTTAGATTTAAATTGTCTAGTAAGTTTGATAAATCATTAACAGACATTGACAAATTGCACTTACATTATCATCAGCATAAGTCTTGCCATTCTCKTAGCTATAAGGTCAACAGGATTTTCGGCGGCAATGTTGGTCCACTTCRATCTGCTGCACYTSCAGAATATAGTAATTGAGCTACCACTTGTTGAACTGTTCTGATTGCCAATTAATCGATGAATCGAAAAACTGCTACGCGATTGTAGTGGTTTTGGCAATTCTACCGACTGCGCCACTTAAGAATAATAATTCTTGAAAGTTCAAAAAAAACTATATTTTTATTAATACAAAGTTCTAGACAACACTGGATTAATTCTCAATTTAAACTCTGACTGGGATACAAAATGGTTGGTCAATGGTTTATATAATTTATTGGTGTTGAATCGGCACACACCTGGAACCTAGTGGTTGGTCAGCATTATTGTTATACGAGGTGGCCCATAACTCATGTGCGTCCATCTCGGATCAAACTTTCCACAATTCCGGTCCAAGCGACGGGCATAATTTTCAGCCCATGGACAGGTTGATTTGTTAAAAATTTCGCTTTTATCACGTTGTACAGGAAGGTTTTGCCAGTGTCAGCAGGTCCATCTACAACAAAAGAGCCGTTGGATTTGGTGTGGATTGGGACGAGCTGGCCGGATAATACCCTGGCGACGGGCAGCTCGATTCAGATCCTGATCAGCATCGAACTGTTGTTGTTCGTCGAGTCGCTAATCAGCGATCGAATTGCCGTCACTTCCAATCATACACGGGGTTAATAAGTAGTCAACAATTTCAAAATCTTATACGCCTCGATATATAAGGGCGTTATACAGGCTGCGTTAATCGTTTGTAAGCATATCGACACGAAAAGAGTTCGCATAATCAGAAAGAGACTGCCCATCGACATGGTCATTCTCCTGGTCTCCGACAAAGTCAGGAAGATATGAAGATTCGGCGGCATTTTCCTCGTTTGAATCGGTTGCGAGTTCGACCCCAGGTTGAAAAGGCTCAGATCTTAAAATTTGATTGATATCCCTAATGGCCAAAAAAAGCACCGGCATTCTCTGTTTCGAAGGAAATCGGCAATCAAATGTGGGTTTTTAAATCGATGCCATAGATCTAGACTCGTTGCACTTGGCCTTTGCCGACATCGATCTAAAGAAGAATGGTTAAACTG